TACTAATATAGTAAGTTAGATATTTTTTTCTTATTATAATAGATTAAATAAAGATTTTTATTAGCTATATATTTTTTTATTATTGTAATAGATTGGTGAAGACTTTTATTAATAGTATTTTTTTTATAATTAGGCAAAAACTTTTATTAGCAGGGTGTTTTTTATAATTTTAATTTGTTATATAAAGACTTCAATTAGATTTTTTTTTAAATAGTAATTAGTTAGGCAAATACTTTAGTTAGCTATATATTTTCATAATATTAATTGTTAGATAAGAACTTCAATTAGTTTTTTTTTAGTAGTAATTGGTTGGGTGAAAGCTTCAATTAGTTTTTTTTAAATAGTAATTTGTTGGACAAGTATTTTTTTTAATTAGCTAGGGTAAAGACTTCAATTAGTTAATATATTTTTAAATAGTAATTGGTTGGATAAAAACTTCAATTAGGTATATGTTTTTTTAAATAATAATTAGCTAGACAAATCTTTATTTTTTAAAATTGTAATTGCCAAAGTGAAGACTTCAATTAATTTGGTGTTTTTTCAAAATTATAATTGCTAGAGTGAATACTTCAATTAGTTAAATGCTTTTTAAGATTATAATTGGCTTGAACGAATATTTGGATGTTTTTTAAAATTGTAATTAGCTGGAGAGACAACTTCAATTCATTAGGTATTTTTTAAGATTGTGTTTTTAAGATTGTATTTTTTAAAATTGTAATAAATTAGACAAAGGTTTAAGACAAAAGTTTTTCTAATTATTATTATTAAGTGATATATAGATTGTTACATCAAACCCATATAATAACTATAATTTATTCAATAATTTAAAATTTAAAATTGAAATTTGGGATTTGGGTTTGAGATTTGAGATTTGGTTTTGGGATTTGGAATTAAAATTTGATCAAAGTTTTAATAGCCCAAATAAAATTTTTGTAATTTGTATTTTGGAATTTTTTCATTTGGGATTGAGATTTGGATAGAATTTTAAAAATTTATAATTTTGCCAACATGTATACTTATTTAGTAACATAATAATTGCAACTTTTGCTTTTATGATAAACTTAGCTAAAATATAAGTTTTAAACTTTAAAATATTCTATTTTTTATTAGAAAAAAACCAATTGCACCCAAATGTAGTAAATTAATATTGAGAATATAAATTGTATTAATATTTTCAAACAAAGTAAAAAAAAATTTTATAAAATTTTATCTATCTATTCTACTTATTTGAAAAAATATTAAAGTATATATTATTTTTTTATAAATAACATTTTATTTACTAAATCTAAAAATAATCAAGTCTATTTAGCAGAAATATAATTGTTTATATCTAAGAATAATCATTCACTCAATATTAAAATAACCAAAATCAATAAATATTTTCTTGCAATTTGAGCTAAGATAAAAAAATAGGCTTATTAATTGATTATCATTTCAACAAATCTTTTTTTGTATCTTTTTTTTTGCAAATAAAAATATATTTCATTATTTTCTTCTATTTCACATAATTTCTTTATTATTATTTTTTAATACTTTAAAAAATAGTATTATTATTATTATTAAAGATAGTAAATTATTATCTATATTTCACATAGCAACACTAGTAAGATAATAATTATTTTTTATATCATTAAAACAGTGTTATTTATCATCTAATTATTTTTTTATCAGAGGTTTACTCCCTTCTTTAATATATATAAAATCAGATTTTTATATATAATTTTAACTTTTTTACCCCCCTCCTCCTCTAAAAAATCACCTGATTTTTGTCATGTCCCTAACTATAACAATGCTGATAATAGTAACTATTTTTATGTAAATCATCCAACACCGTTGCACTTATGGCCTGATCTAGTTCGAAGAAAAGTCCTCATTATTTTGAAAGAAATGAACTAAACCATTATTTGTCATGCAATTTCTGATATATAGAATGTAATAACTAAATATTACTTAAGTAAGAATGTCATAAATTTCATTCTCATCTATAGATGCCACCGCTAACCAATATTATAATTTATATTTAGCAATTAAATAATTATATATTTATTTAAAAAAACTCGTTCAATTACTAACTACATTTACGTAGTAACCTAACGTACCTAACGTTTTGATTTTGATTTTTTAGCACGTTTGTCACGCTTTGATTTTAATTTTACAGTTTTTTCTCGTTTTCGCTTTTTGTTTGTTTCTGAAGTTTCGACATTACTATTAGATTGTTCTTTTGCAGCAAGTTTAGATTTTTGTTTCTCTTGTTTGGACTGAAACCAAGTCCGAGCAGGCTTACTAAATATTTCCTTTTCATGCTCCAAAAGATTTTTATTTTTTTGTATTTCCATTTCCGCAAGCCGTATAGCTTTTTCTTCTTTTTCTTCTACAATGACTTCTTTAATTTGATTTTTTAATTTATCAAACTTTTCGCGATATTTTGAAACAATTTCTGCATCGATATTACGCCTTCTAATTTGACCCTTAGCTGCATGTTTAATCACCATTTTTAAAATCTTGCGATCTGCTTCTCCTGTGAAAGTTACTGATCTATAAATTATAATACCATTTCAACAAATGTAAAAATATTAATGGACATGGAACCACGAACAAATAATAAATAATACCGTCCGCCACGTCCTGCACGAGCCGTTCGGCCGACACGATGTATATAATGCTCATAACTTTGTGGCATATCGTAGTTGATAACAGTTTCAATGCCTTTTATGTCCAAACCTCGCGATGCCAAATTGGTAGCTAAGAGGAAGTCTACTTTTCCATCTCGGAAGGCCTCAAGAGCCTCCATGCGCTATATACGTGTCGAATAAGGAAACGGATCAAAAAAAGAAATTAATTGTCATAGTTGATACTAAATTGGTGATACTAAATTGGTGATACTGAGATTTGGACCTACTTCCATATTAGGGTTTGGAACCGGTTTTATTTCGTATGTTAAACTG